TAGAGAGGCGTCTCAGACAAATAATGTTATATATAGACTCTTTTGAGATTAAAGACGTGCTTTTATTGTGTCTGGAATAGGTTAAGAGTATGTTAAATAATTAACTTACATTTATGTACTAAAGTCATTAACATCTACGAAAATCTATCCTCAAGTTACTCTAAAACAAATTACCTTTTTTTGTTTCTAAATTTTTTCTCTTGGTTGTTTTGTAATTATATATTCTAATATTCTTATTTAATAATAGTGTTGCGAGCCGGTGTGGACTCGACCTAACCTCACAATATGGCCCGCCCTCGGATGACCTTAACATCGCATAGACACCGCAATGATTCATTCGTTCGAGAAGAATCGAGACCCACTAGAATGGACGCGTACATACGAGAACATTCGAAAACCTTCTCTATGCGCCTAACGATCTTTGGACTATTCTAGATTTCTTTTACCTGTCGGTATAAAAGCCGGCGGCAGTGGCCTAGAGAGGGCAGTTATAAATATACCAGTGCAGTTGACGCGCTAAAATTCAAAATAAATTCTTAGTTATAAATCGTTTGTAAATAGTTCTATAAGTCTTTTATCGTTATCGTTTTTGTTAATTAGTGTTAAATAAATAGTGTTTAAATAAATTGTGACTTTCTATCCACACGGAACCGACGAAAAAAACGTAACAATAGTATATTTATTTAGTAAAATACTAGTATTTTTATCTATTTACAAATTGTTGAATAATTATAAAAATTTATATAGTTTATAGTGTCACTGTTAGTGACAAAATTAAAAAGCTTTTTAAGAAACCTTTAAATAAGAATTTCAATTTGATCGTAAAAAAAATAATGTGTGCAACATGTGCAAAAGCATATTTGTTGTACTGAGCATGATTGCAGCTCGAGACGAAGTCATACGCCGTGAAACAAATATGTCCTTTTTGAACTAGTTACACAAACAACTATTTTTTTATAAAACTCTTAAGCCCCGCCTACACATGACGTTTTACCTGTCAGTTTTGCATGTCAGGTAAAACAGAAGACCATATAAAAAACTCAAAAATGGCAGTTCTCAAAATGGTCCTTAGTCTTTACTTTTTTACTTAAAGTTATAATATTACTATGGTAGCCTACAATATTTTAAAAAATTTGGAAACTTCTTGTCTCCTTGGTCTGTTTCTGTCCGCTGATATTTTGCTACAAACCTAACGTTTTACCAAAAGTGAATAATAATACCGAAACGGCTCTTTAGGCCTGGAATTTTCCTTTGACAAATAAGGATGAGAGCTGGGATTTTCGAGACTAATTATAAGGATTTGGCTTCTCCATTATCTGAATTATTAAGTGGATGAACCACTCTTCTTTTCTTGAATAATTAACAAGACAATTTCGGTTGGTATTAATTACAAGTGAACACAATAGACAAAAAAGGAGACTGTTTTATAAGCTAATTATTAGGTACTCTCTATGGATACAACTCACCATCGTAAGCTGTTGCTAGGATATTCTATCAATTTTAGTTGAATTTTTTAAACATTGTGAATGATTGTAAATTTTTAAGTAAAAAGTTTCATTCATAACCTCGCATTTAGTGGAATAAATTAGTGGTTTCAATTACGTTTTATAGTGTTTATATAGTTTACGATCATTTACAATATTTAAAAAACACAATTAAAATTAATAGAATATCCTAGCAACAGCATGTGTTAGTCAGTTGTATCCATAGAGAAAGCCTAATATTTCGGTTAGAGTTTAAATATCTTTGCCTAATATTTAGCTTATAAGACAATCAATTTTTGATTTCTACCCACAGTTTCTCTTGACGCAAGATAATCAAAGACCAAAATGGCATTTCTTGCAAATTTTGAAGTATAATTATTGGAAAAGCTAAAAGTTTGATAACTTTTTCTACTAATTAAAAATGGCTACCTATAATTTTGACGTTCTGAATGCTTACATTGAAATTATAGGAACAAACTTCTACGCTAATTGAAAGCACCGATTTATTCCACTAATTTAGAGGTTGTGAATGTCCTTAAATCCGAAATTCTTTAAGTTTCAATACTGAATCATTCTCTACCACATTCAAAGAAACATAGAGTATTTCGTCGAACACAAATTTTTCTTGTGAGAGCAGTATAAAATAAACGAAAAAAAAACTATGGGGCAGGTTTGAAGTGAATGATTAAGACTGAATGAATTAAAACTGTATACTTTTCAATTAAAAATGAATTTCCGGAAGTTTAGTATTATTTATTAAATATACCTACGCTGGTAAAGCCGGAAGTTAGAGGTGGCGTTATAAATTGTGCAGCAAATTTGGAGGCGCAAAACTTCTAAAGTTTTGTAGCTGACGCGAGGGTAAAGTAAGCAATACCTCCCGAAATTCCCGATAGCGACAGTGGCGCCTAATGCATATTTTAGCTGAAGGGGAGAATTCTGAAAAAAATTAATTCAATCTTTAAGGCTCATCAATGTCGCTCATAGGCTCAGAGCCCTTTTGTAGCAGTCACGAGAATGGCTACAAAATGATGGGTGTGTAACAAATCTCTAGAATGGTGTGGAACATGGACAGACAGGAGCAAAGACAGTCAGAACTATAGTGTGTCTACTAATGGAATAAGCCGAGAGCTACCTCGAAGAAACCAGTAAAAATGACGAAACCAAAACAGATAGACAAAAATAGTAAATGAGATAGTAAATACAGCAAAACAGACAGCAAAATCAGTAAAAAGCTGCTGATTTTCTTAAGTATACCATTACCTATACCGGGTGCGTCTCAAAAGTGGCTCACCAATATAACTTTTTTATTTTTTCAGATAAAAAAACGAAATTTTGTATGTTCGTATATGACATAAATTGGGATTGATTAACGTATTTAATTGTTTTCGACTACAACTTTTGATTTTTAAATGGCACCTTCGGTATTTTTTTACTTTATTCGATAGAAAATGACACTTTGAATCGAATGACATATCATATGTCAAGTTTTGACGTAGTCACTCAAAAAGAAATTGTGTCTTAAATTTCAATCTAGAGGGCCATGGCTGTGTTAAAAACACTAATTTTTAATCAAGGAGTCTTAGAAAAATAGATTTGATCGTCTAATGTTTTTAGTGTCTTGTCCTGACCGGTTAAAATATGCCGCAATCGTATTTTTAATCATATCTCAATTTTTTCAAATGGAACGAGGGTGGCTCTTTAGCATATTTGGAAAAAGATTTTTTTGGCGAATAATTTGATATCACACACTTGGTATTTCGAGTCAAAGTGTCGTTATGAACCGCATGTTACAAGTTCAAATAAACCATATGTTAAAATGTTAAAAGTTGACATATGATATGTCATTCGATTCAAGGTGTCATTTACTATCGAATAAAGTAAAAAAATACCGAGAGTGCTATTTAAAAATCAAAAGTTGTAGTAATTTCCGGTGAAACCGGAAGTGGCCGAAAACAATTGAATGCGTCAATCAATCCCAATTTATGTCACATACTAACATACCAAATATCATTGTTTTATCTGAAAAAATAAAAAAGTTATAGGTTTGAGCCACTTTTGACACGCACCCGGTATATTGGATAATGTGAAAAGTTGACATATGACCGTCATTCTATTCAGAGTGTCATTTTCTATCGAATAAAGTAAAAAAATACCGAGTGTGTCATTTAAAAATCAAAAGTTGTAGTCATTTCCGGTGAAACAGGAAGTGACCAAAAACAATTGAACGCGTCAATCAATTCTAATTTATGTCATATACCAAATCTCATTTTTTATCTGAAAAAATAAAAAAGTTATAGGGTTGAGCCACTTTTGAGACGCACCCGGTATACCAATATCAGCCCAAGAAAAAGTGTTCTATTTTTCCCACTTACTTTTTGGAAAATCTTACATGAAATTGGAAAACAACTAATACAGTTAAAACTATATTTTTAGTAAGACTATTTTTTACTTTATTTTGTAAAGTTTTTGCCGTCACTGCGTCACTGGATAGCGAATTTTGAATGTAAATCTAGAAAGTTTTATGAAGCCGTCCAAAGCTACACATGACCATTGTTTAGGGCGTGCCAAAGCGTCAAAAATGTGGTCTGGAACAAACTGGACAGGAAATTCCTCTCAACGATTTGGTTTCTATTCGACATTCGCAGAATTCGCACGAAATTTCATTAGAACAAGTATCGATTAAACTGAAGCAATTATTACTTTGTTTGATAAGTGTGAAGGATAGAGTTATGTATTGAACCTTATCTATTTTATCGTTTTTTTTTTCAATTTTTAATTGCAGCACCCATATATAAAGAAATATCTAACACCCTTAAATAATAAATCCCACTTCTGATGTAAGGGATCTTTTAAAAAATAAATCCCTCCTCTGATGTAAGGGATCTCTCAAATAATAATATTGTTTAAAGGAAAATAAGTATTTTAATAGCAACAATTGATCTCTACGACAAATTATTGAATAATAATATCTTAGTCTTCTTGCGTAACGGAGTTATTGTTGGCTGACTAATATTCAATCATCCTGATTTTAAGGAAACTTTCGACCATAAGATAATAGAGGCATAATTTTACAGGACCCCTGCTCTAAGCCTTCAGAGGAAAGTAATCAATCTGTATTAATATGAATCATCAATATTCAATTTGTTGCATGAAAAATAGAAATGACACGGGATTCTTATTGCTACAATATTATACAATCAATCATCAATAAAAAAATTAATGAGTGCATATACGGTTATCTCAAAGAAAACAAATAGCATGCAAATAATTTGTTTCCAAATATTTTTGTCAATATTTCGATAAAACAAACACATCAATATTATTTAGTGTGTGCTTCTGATAACTTTAGTTACTTTTGATGGGAAAATAATGCGTTGTGTCATTGTTTTCAGTATTTCCTCAAAACAAATGAAAAAATTGTGTCTCTCTCATAGCAAAAGGTTGCCGACCGGTGGTTTAGACTAAATAAATAATATTAATATTATATAAAAACAATACATTTTCTTTTTTCAGCTTTGCTACTGCGGTCAGAACTGTAGAAGAATTCCGGAAGCTTTGGGCAAACTATACGGGACAAAAGTTCACTGTTTGGATCTCAGTTTCAATGAGTTGGCGTCCCTGAGAGGTCTGGAAGCCTTTTCGGATATTCGGGAACTGGTTTTGGATAACAATCAGTTAGGGGATTCGATAGTTTTTCCCGAAATGCCATATTTGCACACCTTATCCTTAAATAAAAACAAGGTTGGTATACATATATACAGTATATGAGATGCCTTATATCTATCAAAAATAGTAGATAGAATAGTACTTTAACAGCGAGGATAGGTTAAAAATTTATTTTTTCTCGCACGTTTTTTAATTGCTTCCATTTTTGAAAATTTTTGTATTCCTTTTCATAAGTTATTCGGGATTTAAATGGAAGTAGTATGGATATGGCATTTGTTGCCTCAGCCTGAATATCTGTTGGTAATTTACTTATTTCGTTTTGAGCCATTTCTGGCTCCAATTCGATCAGCAATCGACACGAAAGGGAATTAAAAGATATTGACTCAAAACTGACTACTAAGAGACAGTTTTATTTATTTGTCAAATTAGATAGAAACCAACGCCAACCCAGCACAATATTTTTTCTACTCGTAATAAATTGCTTGAAATAATAATTTCTGAATATTTTTTAAAACGTAAGTCGCTATGGAAGAAAATATTGTTTTATACACGACGATAAAATTGCATTATCGTCCCCCGAAATTAATTCACTCGCGATTTCATTGCTCGTGAATTAATCTTCTCGGTCGACGATAAAATACCATTTTATCGTCTTGTATAAAAAATAGCTATTTATCTACAATTTTTAGATATGTGATCTGGAAACTTTATTACTGCAAATAAGAAATAAAACAAGAATATTGAACTATTTGAGTCTTTTGGGCAATAAAGCTTGTCCAAATCAGCTTTCCTGCGAAGAAAATAACGACGAAGATTACAAGCGATACAGGTAGTTATATAAATATTAATAAATATTGAAAGAGAAGAACTTTTTTGAAGCATCAATGACTGTTTTGTGTCAAGCCATTATTTTTTTAGTTTAATCTTTTGTGTAATTTATAGATGACATAGTGAGAGGCTGTATAAATAATTTGTTAGTCTTATCAGGTTTACGGGACATCCTATCCTACCTGCCTAATGCTATTGCGGTCGTATGTCCCACGTAGTAAACATGACCTATATTTTGCGACGTAAATTCCAAGCGTGTAAACCAATCATGTAAACAATGTCTATACCCTTGTAGATAGTTCAATTCTTAAAAAAGTATTTTTTAAATTTTAATTCCGCAATCAGGAAAAGCTCGATTTTTCTCAAGAAACGCATATTATGTGTTGTTACTATAGTCTGTCCAACGACAAAATCATTGACAGCGATAGATGTGTCTGTCATATGTCTGTCATTTTGATTTTAAAGTAGTTTATTTTATTTTACAAAGAAATAAGTTGGTAATTATTAAACTAGTCAATACGAATTAGGGATCACTTTGATAAATTTTGTTTAAACAAATAAAATATATTAATTTAAACATATAAACTTAGCAATATGTTCCTTAGGAATTAAGTTTGAACGTAGTGTAGGAACCTTGGTGTTCATGACGAAAAAAGTTGTCAAACTGCTGAAAATTGTATTTTTACTACGTTATGAATGACTACAATATGTATCGAAAACAATGCTAAACAATTTTTATCTTAATTGTCAACGGAAATATATATTTTTCCTAATAATGTGTTTGTTCTTCACTTCTGCACACCAATTTGTCATGGACTGAATGAGGCTCCAAATAATCTCTTGAGGAAAGACGTTCCACTCCTCTCGAAGATTTTCTCCCAAAGTTTGAAGATCTGGTGCTTGTGGACGACTTTGTAGTCTTCTCTTTAGTAGGTCCCAAAGGTGCTCAATAGGATTGAGATCAGGGCTATTAGCAAGCCAATCCATAATTATGATATTGGACTCTTCAAGGTATCGAGTAACTATTCTTGCAGTATGAGACCTGGCATTATCCTGTTGTAAGATGAATTGTGGACTATGCTGAGCAGCAAATGGAATAACATATTGTTCAAGAATCTCACCTCTGTATCGTTCAGAATGAATTATGACGTCTAGAAACACATGCAAGTGCGTAAGCTTATTTAAAGTTATACCTCCATATACCATAACGGAACCCCCCTCAAAATGAATTGCTTCTGAGCAAATATCCTTCGTGCCCTACGATAATTAGCAGTTAAATGCGGCACAACAACTGCTCGCTTTGATCGAATGTTAACTTCATGCAGTCTATTTCTTATAGTCTGAGTTGAAATTCGAGTTCTTCTGGTGATCGTAAGAAGATTTTGTAGGTTTCTTGCGGTAAGTGTTCTTTCAGGAAGAATGGCTTGAACAAGATACAGATCTTCCCGCCTAGTTGTCCTCCCCACTCGTTGAAGAAATGGTCTGTGGACAACAAAACCATATTCTCTGTATGGATTCCAAATGACCGATCGTGTAACATGAAAAAGTTGCGACGCGTATCGTTGCGACCGACCCTCCTGCAATAAAGTTGTGGCTCTAATGACTTCTTCAATATTTAAACGCCTTGTAACAACGTTTGCTCTTCCCAAAACTTTAAAATTTGCCATATTTAACACCAATTTTGACTATCAAGAAGACAAAATCACACTAAATAAGAAACTGATTTTATGGAATTTATGCGTCTTCGAGTGCGTCTTTTTTGTTATTTTTTATGATGGGAAAGAATTTCGTTTTTGTATCAATTTATGCATGGAAAATAACAAAATTGTTCCGATGGTATGCTGCTATAAATATACGGAGATCGGCCTATAAACATAATAAATGTAAATACAGATACACATACCGGGTCTCAAAAGTGGCTCACCCCTATAACTTTTTTATTTTATCCAAAAAAAAACGAGATTAGGTATGTTAGTATATGACATAAATTAAGACAGATTGACGTATTCAATTCTTTCCGGTCACTTCCTGTTTCACCTGAAATTACTACAACTTTTGATTTTTAAATGGCACCCTCAGTATTTATTTACTTTATTCGATGGAAAACGACATTCTGAATAGAATGACATATCATATGTCAACTTTTGACACTTTTGCTTAACACAAAATTGAATTTTAAATTTCAATCTAGAGTGCAGTGAGTTAAAAACTAATTTTTAGTCAAGGGGCCTTTGAAAGATAGATTTGATCGTATATTGTTATTCGTGTCTTGTCCTGGCCGGTTAAAAGATGCCTAAATCGTATTTTTAATCATATCTCAATTTTTTCAAATGGAATGAGGGGCTCATTAGCATATTTGGAAAAAGCATTTTTTTACTAATAATTTGGTACAACACACTTGGTATTTCGAGTCAAATTGTCGTTATGAATCGCATCTTGCAATTTCAAATAAACCATATTCGAAAATGTCAAAAGTTGACATATGATATATCATTCTATCAAAGTGTCATTTTCTATCGAATAAAGCAACTAAACACAATCAAAAGTTGTAGTAATTTACTGTTAGTAAAACAGGAAGTGACAGAAAACAATTGAATACGTCAATGAATCCTCATTTATGTCATATATTAATATACCAAATTTCGATTGAAAAAATAAAAAAAGTTATAGAGGTGAGACACTTTTGAGACGCACCCGGTATAATGTGATCCTTAATTCGTTTTGATTAGTTTATAAACCCACCCATAGTTAACTTAAAAAATATTAGAAACTTTTTTTAATGAAATAAATAGATTGGTATGGACGCAATCTGTGTTTTTTCCTTAATCGTCTGTCGAAATCTTACCTGAGAAAAAACAGAGTATATTATTTACATTTTTTTATTTCTCTCCAGATACTTCGTCTTATACCACCTCCCCGACCTGCAGTTTCTCGACTCGAACCGCGTGACGGATCGCGAGCGGCACGAGGCTCGGCGTAGAGGGCGCTTCATGAACGTGATAAGGCCGAAATCAGAGGCTCAAGGGGAAGAGGCAGGGATGTCCGATCTGTCACTGGCGTTATCCCACAGCCCCCTGCCCCGGTCCCTCCGCAGCCCCGAAGATTACAAAGGTAATTGGCGCGACTAATTCCGGAGTTTGTCTCTCTTGAATTGTGTACTTGCTGTTTGTGTAATTTTGGGCCGTTTCTTGTTTGCGAATGACTTTGTGTCAGTCCGGTGGGAATTGTACATAAAGATGTCGAGAGACTGTTTGAATATCTGCGTTTTAGTAGAGTTTATACGGTCTAGAGTGAGTCAAATTGAACATTTTAAAGAAAAACACCCATACAAATCATACTTCTTCAGCTATTGGTAAACTGCTGATGGCCACATACCATCCGGTTCAAAAGGACCCAGTCCAGGAAAGTTACCTCGTTATAATTCCGTTTTAATATACTCTTTTGATAATAATAATGTTATTTAATAACGAAATTATACCCCCCAGCACAAGAATGATACTTCTTCAGCTAATGGTAAACTGCTGATGGACACATGCCCTCCAGTTCAAAAGGACCCAGTCCAGGAAAGTTTTCTCGTTATAATTCGGTTTTAATATATTCTTTTGATGATAATAATGTTATTTAATAATGAATTTATACCGCCCAATCCAAGAATCATACTTCTTCAGCTATTGGTAAACTGCTGATGGCCACATGCCATCCAGTTCAAAAGGACCCAGTCCAGGAGAGTTTTCTCGTTATAATTCGGTTTTAATATATTCTTTTGATGATAATAATGTTATTTAATAATGAATTTATACCCCCCAATCCAAGAATCATACTTCTTCAGCTATTGGTAAACTGCTGATGGCCACATACCATCCAGTTCAAAAGGGCCCAGTCCAGGAAAGTTTTCTCGTTATAATTCGGTTTTAATATATTCTTTTGATGATAATAATGTTAATTAATGACGAATTAATACCCCCAATCAAGAATCACACTTCTTCAGCTATTGGTAAACTGCTGATGGCCACATGCCATCCAGTTCAAAAGGACTCAGTCCAGGAAAGTTTTCTCGTTATAATTCGGTTTTAATATATTCTTTTTGATGATAATAATGTTATTTAATAATGAATTTATACTGCCCAATCCAAGAATCATACTTCTTCAGCTATTGGTAAACTGCTGATGGCGACATGCCATCCAGTTCAAAAAAGGCCCAGTCCAGGAAAGTTTTTCTCGTTATAATTCCGTTTAATATATTCTTTTGATGATAATAATGTTATTTATCAATGAATTTATACCCCCAATCCAAGAATCATACTTCTTCAGCTATTGGTAAACTGCTGATGGCCACATGCCATCCAGTTCAAAAGGACCCAGTCCAGGAAAGTTTTCTCGTTATAATTCGGTTTTAATATATTCTTTGATGATATAATGTTATTTAATAATGAATTTATACCCCCAATCCAAGAATCATACTTCTTCAGCTATTGGTAAACTGCTGATGGCCACATGCCATCCAGTTCAAAAGCACCCAGTCCAGGAAAGTTTTCTCGTTATAATTCGGTTTTAATATATTCTTTGATGATAATGTTATTTAATAATGAATTTATACCCCCAATCCAAGAATCATACTTCTTCAGCTATTGGTAAACTGCTGATGGCCACATGCCATCCAGTTCAAAAGGACCCAGTCCAGGAAAGTTTTCTCGTTATAATTCGGTTTTAATATATTCTTTTGATGATAATAATGTTATTTAATAATGAATTTATACCCCCCAATCCAAGAATCATACTTCTTCAGCTATTGGTAAACTGCTGATGGCCACATACCATCCAGTTCAAAAGGGCTCAGTCCAGGAATGTTTTCTCGTTATAATTCGGTTTTAATATATTCTTTTGGTGATAATAATGTTATTTAATAATGAATTTATACCCCCCAATCCAAGAATCATACTTCTTCAGCTATTGGTAAACTGCTGATGGCCACATACCATCCAGTTCAAAAGGGCTCAGTCCAGGAAAGTTTTCTCGTTATAATTCGGTTTTAATATATTCTTTTGATGATAATAATGTTATTTAATAATGAATTTATACTCCCCAATCCAAGAATCATACTTCTTCAGCTATTGGTAAACTGCTGATGGCCACATACCATCCAGTTCAAAAAGGCCCAGTCCAGGAAAGTTTTCTCGTTATAATTCGGTTTTAATATATTCTTTTGATGATAATAATGTTATTTAATAATGAATTTATACCCCCCAATCCAAGAATCATACTTCTTCAGCTATTGGTAAACTGCTGATGGCCACATGCCATCCAGTTCAAAAGGACCCAGTCCAGGAAAGTTTTCTCGTTATAATTCGGTTTTAATATATTCTTTTGATGATAATAATGTTAATTAATGACGAATTAATACCCCCCAGCACAAGAATCACACTTCTTCAGCTATTGGTAAACTGCTGATGGCCACATGCCATCCAGTTCAAAAGGACCCAGTCCAGGAAAGTTTTCTCGTTATAATTCGGTTTTAATATATTCTTTTGATGATAATAATGTTATTTAATAATGAATTTATACCCCCCAATCCAAGAATCATACTTCTTCAGCTATTGGTAAACTGCTGATGGCCACATGCCATCCAGTTCAAAACGACACAGTCCAGGAAAGTATTCCCGTTATAATTCGGTTTAAATATATTCTTTTGATGATAATAATGTTAATTAATGACGAATTGATACCCCCAGCACAAAAATCACACTTCTTCAGCTATTGGTAAACTGCTGATGGCCACATGCCATCCAGTTCAAAAGGACCCAGTCCAGGAAAGTTTTCTCGTTATAATTCGGATTTAATATATTCTTTTGATGATAATAATGTTATTTAATAATGAATTTATACCCCCCAATCCAAGAATCATACTTCTTCAGCTATTGGTAAACTGCTGATGGCCACATGCCATCCAGTTCAAAAGGACCCAGTCCAGGAAAGTTTTCTCGTTATAATTCGGTTTTAATATATTCTTTTGATGATAATAATGTTATTTAATAATGAATTTATACCCCCAATCCAAGAATCATACTTCTTCAGCTATTGGTAAACTGCTGATGGCCACATGCCATCCAGTTCAAAAGGACCCAGTCCAGGAAAGTTTTCTCGTTATAATTCGGTTTTAATATATTCTTTTGATGATAATAATGTTAATTAATGACGAATTTATACCCCCCAATCCAAGAATCATACTTCTTCAGCTATTGGTAAACTGCTGATGGCCACATGCCATCCAGTTCAAAAGGACCCAGTCCAGGAAAGTTTTCTCGTTATAATTCGGTTTTAATATATTCTTTTGATGATAATAATGTTATTTAATTATGAATTTATACCCCCCAATCCAAGAATCATACTTCTTCAGCTATTGGTAAACTGCTGATGGCCACATACCATCCAGTTCAAAAAGGACCCAGTCCAGGAAAGTTTTCTCGTTATAATTCGGTTTTAATATATTCTTTTGATGACAATAATGTCATTTAATGACGAATTTATATCCCCCAGCACAAGAATCACACTTCTTCAGCTATTGGTAAACTGCTGATGGCCACATGCCATCCAGTTTAAAAGGAGCCAGTCCAGGAAAGTTTTTCGTTATAATTCGGTTTTAATATATTCTTTTGATGATAATAATGTTATTAATGACTGAATTTATATCCCCCAACACAAGAATCATACTTCTTCAGCTATTGGTAAACTGCTGATGGCCACATGCCATCCAGTTCAAAAAGACCCAGTCCAGGAAAGTTTTCTCGTTATAATTCGGTTTTAATATATTCTTTTGATGATAATAATGTCAATTAATGACGAATTAATACCCCCAAGCACAAGAATCACACTTCTTCAGCTATTGGTAAACTGCTGATGGCCACATGCCATCCAGTTTAAAAAGGAGCCAGTCCAGGAAAGTTTTCTCGTTATAATTCGGTTTTAATATATTCTTTTGATGATAATAATGGTATTTAATAATGAATTTATGCCCCCCAATCTAAGAATCATACTTCTTCAGCTAATGGTAAACTGCTGATGGACACATACCATCCGGTTCAAAAGGACTTAGTCCAGGAAATGTTTTCTCGTTATAATTCGGTTTTTATATATTCTTTTGGTGATAATAATGTTATTTAATGACGAATTTATACCCCCCAGCACAAGAGTCATACTTCTTCAGCTATTGGTAAACTGCTGATGGCCACATGCCATCCAGTTCAAAAGGACCCAGTCCAGGAAAGTTTTCTCGTTATAATTCGGTTTTACTATATTCTTTTGATGATAATAATGTTATTTAATACTGAATTTATACCACACAACCCAATAATCATATTTCTTCAGCTAATGGTAAACTGCTGATGGACACATACATCCATGAACAGTCTTTATGTTGTAAGAGCATTAATTTAAGTTTTATCATCTCTTTTATCACCCTTCTATCATTCTGTAATTCGTAAAGACAAATGCTATTCACTCTTCCTAATTTAATCGTTTGCCTTAAAAGCACGAGCCTGTACGAATAATTTAGGCTCTTATTCTTATATTCTCCCGTGACGTAACAGGAATAATAAATTTAGAACGTATACTTTTGGTTTCAAAATGGCTTAAATTAGTATAATGCGTTGTGATGATTAGTATATAGGATTTTAGCTTAATGGAACCTACTTTTATGAAAGATAAAATCATATATTTGTTTCATATAGAAAATTTAATATTAGGTACCCGTGATTATGTATAAATAAGGATATTACTAAAGCAAGGTCCAGACGTAACGACTTATCGTATGGCCGGCTTGCGTCGGCAAAATGTTGCGTATAAAACGTATAGTAGTACATTTTATCTGCAACGGTATTTTAACGCAAACAAGTTGCGTCTAGCCCGCGCTTTAGTCTTATGTCTATTTGTCTGCTATTCCTGTGTTTTCCAATCTTTAAAAGCATTTCTTTAAATTCCAATTTTCTTTTTACATCATTTATAATAATTTTATATTTTTGCAGGAGCTTATGGTAGGTGCAGGTACCGTTACAGTGGTAAACATTCGGAGGGAAATAGGTTTATTTGCAATAATGACTTGTAAGATCTTAACTATTGCATGTTATTTACCTTATTATGTCTTTATACTCACTGATGTATCTCATTTTTAAATAAAAAAGCGTAGGTATTACAAATTCCAGATTATTTTATTTGTTTCCTAATGATTATACCTGCAAAGCATTCATTTTTACAGTTATCTAATTTATTTGCCTTTGCCTATCAGATTTTTCAGGGGAATTTTTTCTATTATTTAAAAATAATACCCCCTTCACCCCTTATTTTATACAAAAAATATTTAAAATATTCATTGGCGGTCTAGGTACTGGGTGTAATATATAGGCAACCAAAAATACAGAGTAAAAAACTAGATTAAATTCTCATATATTTAAGATACATGGACTATTTTTTGATATTTGACTAAATTAGAATCTTATTAGAATAGTTTCTTTTATTTTTATAACAAGTTTGATATTTTTTTATTAAACATTGAAGAGAAAAATAAATATATGCCTTCTATATATGTTAGACAAGGAGACAAAATGCGAATGTTTTTGACATGAATGACGCTTCAAAATTGACTTTTTATTTGACAGACGAGAGCAATTTTCTCACGATTCACAACAGAAAATAGCAAAAAGCAAACGTAACCATTTATCCTGTAAATATATTTATTTTGTGTTATCATTCGTTAGTAGGCTGGGTTTCGATTTCCCAAACTTACCAAAAATCAGCGATGAAATGAACATGTGAGATTTTATAATATGCAAAAATTATGGGTAAGTTCAAGTTGTATTATTCATATTTATATACATATTAAATGCATTATAGTTTACGCCTATTTTACGGTGTTCTAAATAACATATATGTACATATTTTTCTTTTCAGTTGAAGTAGAAGTAGAATATAATTATGAAGCTCAAGAGCCTGATGAGTTGAACATTAGAAAAGGTGATATAATTAAGGATGTGAGGAAAAAGTCAGGTTTGTATAAATCAGGATACATTCAAATGAATAATTGTCTATAAATAAATTTACCAAACATTTCTATGAACAATATTTGTTGTCAATTGACATAAAATATTTAAAATACCGAGTATAGTAACAAGTTTGTCAAGTTTATATTTTATATCATGTGTGCCATGACATTCTTGTTTTTTGATAAACATGAATTTTGTTTTATTTCACAAACGTAATTTTTAGATGGCTGGTGTGAGGGTATTCTTAATGGTAAGCGAGGCGTCTTTCCTGATAACTTTGTAAAATTCCTCGATAAAGATGTGGTAATAAGAACAAAAAAGGAAACTGATAGGCAAGTCAATTTATTATACCTATATTCTCATTGGCATTTCCAGATAACATTTAATAGATTAGCACTTAAAGCTAATCTTTTATAACAAATCATGCCATAAATATTATTATTCTAGATTATTTTTTGATAAATAAGTGAAGACATTTAAAAAAATTCTAGGAAATGTCGTGTCGTGTTCAGTTACAAGCAAGACCACGTGGATGAACTTAGTCTTAACGTAGGTGACGTTATTAGTGTAATTGGTGAAGATGAAGAAGGTTGGTGGAGAGGAATTTTGAACGGAAAGGAAGGTGTGTTTCCTTCAAATTTCGTGGAGGAAATACGAGAATTACCTCCTCCGCCTAGGCCAACCAATAGGAACGAATTATTGAAACTGACTGAAGAAGCGCCTGCCTTGCCAGCTAAACCAGGTCAGTAGTATGCTTAAGGGTTTTGAGAAAATATTTTAGGGTAAAGAGATCAATAGAAGTTGAGTGCACTTTTCCATTATGTGTGCATGCTTTTGTTTATAAATAATCCTTATATCTTGGTTATAAATAAAAGCATGCTGTCACATCATGTAATTAATGAATTAACCAGGAATTAACCGATGAAAAAGGCTTTGTGTTGGTAGTCATGGCAACCGTTGCTTGTTGTCATATGGGATTTTTCTTTACAAATCTGATATTATTTGTCATTTTTGAGGTTTCTGTGTCAAATTTGAAGTTTAATATGCTTATAATCTGCGTTTTATTTAGTTAAAACTGCGATTTTAGTTACAATAAAGTGCCAAAAACCACTAAATAGTCCAAATCAGCAACTTGTGGTATCATGGTGTCCCTTTTGAGGTAAATTGCGTTAGAGAGGTAAAAATTGATATTGTTGCTTGAGTCTTTCAGATATTTCAGTGTGTTTCAGCTGAAAAACAGCTCTAAATATACAAAATATATTTTATAGGTACCTTTTCTCGTACCAAAAATTTTCCTGTTGCGTTTTTTTGCATCTGAATGTACAGGGTGTCCCACTAAGAATAGCTCTCGGCTGTATCTCGGAAAGTATTAGCCGTAGCGGCTGCGGAAAAAAATATTTATAACTAAAGAGGCCATGGGAAATTGCGGGAAATTATTTTCAAGTTTGTAGAACGACCGCTAGGGGGCGCAACTGCAACAACAAATAAGAAAATAGAGTTTTTACACAATTTTGCCTAGATATGGTGTACTACAAGTAACAGCTTCATAATCTTCAGTAAATTTTTAATATTTTTTGTTAGAGCCATTTTCCCCTATCTACCCAAATAAAGTGGTGGGGGAAAGTTAGATCTATTTTTATTTGAATATTAATAACTCTGGACTGGATGATCGAAATCCAACAAGCGAGGGTTCGCTTAAAAGAGCGTTTCTTACTCTATATTGTACCATATAAACAATAGTAATAAGCTTTTGAACGTAGACGCTAGGGAGCGTTGTCTTACAATTTAACAAACATTGCGCGTTTTTTCAAAAAAATTAAATGCAATAGTATATATAATTTTAGCTGATAGTAAAGAGTAATAAAAGCTTAAAAAGTCAGCGAAAACCGCATCTTGATATCTTCTTTCAAACCGAAGATATTAGCAAAACTATAATAAATACCAAAAAATAAGCCGTTAATTACCTTATTTTTATAACACGGTATTAGTAGCCCTCTTGATTATGCCCATTCTAACCTAAAAATAAGATAGAAACAGTTAGTTTATTTTAAAATCGACGATATACCTGAATATCATAATATCAGATGTATTAATATCTAATAATTAAGATATTAATAATAGTGAACAAGAAACGATGATTCAGTGAAGTCATGGTAGGCTTTGGAAAAAAGTTGCTTTTCGAGTAATAGTATAAACGTCAAATTGTTATTAGATCAACATTTTGATAGTCTTAGCAGCGTTTTTTTATCTTTTAAATGCTTTTTCAAAATGCCTTTATTATTTGAAGTATAAGTTGAAGTTGTTGGCATTTTGAAAAGGCAATCAAAAGATAAAAAACGCTGCTTAGTCTATCAAAATGTTGATCTAATAACAATTTGACGTTTATACTATTACGTCAAAAGCAACTTTTTTCCAAAGCCTACCATGACTTCACTGAATCATCGTTTCTTGTTCACTATTATTAATATCTTAATTATTAGATATTAATACATCTGGTATTATGGTACTCTGGTATTTCGTCGATTTTAAAATAAACTAACTGTTTCTATCTTATCTTTTTGTTAGAATGGGCCTAATCAAGAGGACTACTGATACTGTATTGTAAAAATAAGGTAATTAAGGGCTTATTTTTTGGTATTTATTATAATTTTGCTAATATCTTCGGTTTGTAAGAAGATATCAAGATGGCGGTTTTCTAGTTGATCCCATAGGTTCTCTATAGGGTTCAGGTCGGGGCTTTGAGCTGGCCATTTCATCATTTCAACTTGTTTCTCGGTTAAAAATTCCTTAATAAGTCTGGCAGTGTGTTTCGGATCATTATGGTGCATAAATTTCCAGTTTAATGAGAGAGAGGATTCAGCATAAGGTACCATTGTTTCTTACAAAATATTTAAATACATATAACGATCCATAATTCCATTTATTTGAACAAGGGGCCCAATCCCATGCCCAGAAAAATAACTCTAGACTAGAACGTTCCCACCTCCGTGTTTTATGGTGGGTATGGTGTACTTGGGATTGAATCTCTCATTGGCAGGACGTCTCACCCACCTAATACCATCCAAACCAAAAAGATTGTACTTGCTTTCGTCTGACCAGAGTACATTTTTCCATTGCTTGTAGGTCCAATTTGCATGTTCCAATGCAAATTGTAGTCGGGCCTGCCTATTTTTCTTAGAAATAAACGGCTTTCGGGCAGGTGTTCTGGCATTTCGTTGTGCCTGTTTCAGACGCCGTCTAATGGACCTAACAGATATTGAAATAAAGGGATATTCGTTCCTTATATCCTCCGCAGTGCAAAATGGATTTCTAAGTGAATATCTTATTATTTTCTCTGTCGCCAAAGTTGTTTTTTTTGGGTCTTCCGGGCTTGGGTATACTGGCAGTTGTCCCACGATTTCTATACAAATTAATTTATTTGCACACAACACTTTTATGTAAATTGAAGTGACTAGCAATATCAATTTGTTTAATTCTTGAATGATACTCTCAATTATGATTTTTTTATTTGATCTGTCAAATTTATCCCGCGCGGCATATTTTTAACGCTCTGTGAACCCAATACCACGATCTAGACGCTTTAACAAGAAAATATCTCACAGAATGTTAAGAAGAAGATAAGGTTTCTCCACTTATGTCCGCTGGAATTTGTAAATAATTTTTTGCCTGCAAATTTATTCACAAAATAAGCAGTTTTTATATGGCTATACAAAGCAGATTAAATGCGAAATATTTTCTTCATATCCTATTCTGCAGAGAGTAAACTGTATTTTGACATAGTAAAAATATTAAAAGTTTCTCCATTTTTGGCCGGTACTGTATATATGTATAGAAAATTAATTTTCTACGCGTCGTTACCCATCCCTGACGCCAACTTTGATTGATTTTCCGAGAGTTTATCTATTGTTAATTGTAATTTTTATCAGTAGTTAAGGAATTTTGTAAAGTGCACTTTGGATACAAGGCGCAAAAGGATGACGAGCTGACATTGAAAGAAGGTGATATAGTCACAATAATTAGTAAAGATGCCGAAGATCAAGGATGGTGGCGAGGTGAATTGAATGGAAAAATAGGTGTTTTCCCTGATAATTTTGTAACACTTTTACTTAACAACGTACAGGATAAGAATCCAAGCCCTAAGGTTTGTATTATTATCTAATTATACAGGTTGTTTCAAATTCTACACTCACCATTGGAATCTACAGTGGTTTAAATTGGGGCATAGTTGCTTGCTTTTTTTTTCTTTTTTGTTTGTTCAAATTTAAGTTTTTACCAAAACTTTGTATTTATTTGAAGACCCATTTTTCTGGACTAAAAGATAACTTCAATTACGAAACGGATTATTTATCATTGACACTGACAGGCAACTTTGACCCAATTTAAGCCACCCTGTATCTCTTACCGTTTCTTAGATCCTAATGGTGAGAGGCGAATTTTAAACACCCTGGCAGCATATTCTGCAGATAAAAATAAATAAAAAAGTTCGTATAAATGTATGTCCTAAAATGCGTAGTTTGGGAGATACAGGATCACAGGGTGTAGAAGTTTCATTTTTATTTCGAATTTTTCCAAATAATTTATGAAGTAACGTCAATATTTGGATGAAAATCGGTGTCTGGGAGTTCTTTGATATGAGAAATTTGATTTTGATGTCAATATGACTCCTACTTGTAGAGGGCGCCATCTACATATTTTTTAACTGGTTTAAAGAGTAATAACTTTTCGTCCGTACCTGTATAAAACTACTGAGTAAAAAAATATACATTTACGACGTCTTTTACGTAAAAAAGGCCTCTTGGTAAAATGGTTACGAGTAATGGTTCTCGAGATATTTGAAATCGAAATTATCAATACCTATCATTATTGACATAAATTAAACATGTTGACGAAATAGTTATTAGACTGAAATCATAAATTTGTAATGTATATGTGCCAAAAGCTGAACAGAAACTGTTTTATCATCATTTTTTCGAAGAAAAATTTATGAATAATTTAAAAAAATAAAAATTTCTCAAATTTATTATTTCAGTCAAATAATTATCTACTCAACGTGTTTATTTTTTTGGCAATAATGACATGTATTGACTATTTCCATTCTAAATATCTTGGGAACGGTTGCTCCTAGCGATTTTTTACGTGAAAAGTCATGGAAATTTATATTTTTTCACTCTGTAGTTTTATACAGGTACGGAGGAAAAGTTATTACTCTTCGAAACAGTTAAAGCACATGTAGGTGGCGCCCTCTACAACTAGGAGTCATATCGACATCAAAATCAAATTTCTTATGTCAAAAAACTCCCAGACACCAATTTTCATCCAAATATTGACATTAATTCATAATTATTTGGAAAAAATCAAAATAAATTTTTATTTTGATTTTTATCTGCAGAATATGCTGCCGAAGTTACCGAAATACAGTTCGGACCACCCTGTATATTATTACCATTTAATTATAGCACGAAGCAAAACCTCCTGCCAATACAAACAGTGCCATCAAGCCCAGTTCCGTAGCCTCGCAACGGAAATCCCTCGAAATTAAGAAGACAGACGCTTCTAAAAGTAATTCGCCACTGCCAGGAAAGAAACCTTCAGTTTCCTAAAAAATCGCCGTCTGGTTCCAGTGCCGGCGGTTTATTTTCGAAATTGAAAGATAAAATAGCGGATGCCGTGGATGGGGTTAGCAGTAGCAAAGTTAAGGAAGCCAAGGAAGTGAAGGAGAGTGAAAAGAATGATATTGTGGCCGTTCCAGACACCAGTGCGTTTGATCAAGTGGATAGGCGGCCTCTGTTGGGTGATGTCAGAGCAAGCAGAGCAAGGCCTCCAGGTAAGCAAAATTTTATCTATTTTGTTCTTTGAATAAAAAGATTACCTTTCACTAGTCCGAAAAAGTAGCAAAATAAGCGTTCGACATTTAACGTTTTATGCAAAACTGGCTAGGTATTTTTACACAAATGAAGAAGGAAATTAAAGATAAAGGATTATACTATATCCGTATTGTAGCACATTTTTAGACAACTTCTTTGTTTTTAAGATTTTGATGGTCGAACATCGACAAAATATTCCTTATGTTTAGACTTTGAATAAGAAGACTAAGGAAGGAGCATAATGCTATCCATGTATTCATGCATGGTGGGCGGAAAAAGCACTCTAGGGTGGGGGATCCTTGACAGTTCTGTTTGACGATTCATTTGACACATTTGATTTGAAATTTTGTGGATCTGTCAGTCTTTACGGAGCTTATTTTATGTTATTTATTATTTATTCTACTACTGATAGTTGTATAAAGGTAGTAAATCTAGATGGAAATTGTGGCAGAACTTAAATTAACAGTGACACTATCGCGATTTATCGAAAAAGACTCTAAAATAGTTGGTTGTGTAGCGTGCGGTAGATCTCGGCAAAATTGAGTGAAATAATGGAACAACTTTTCGCTAGTAAGTGACTATATAATATACATACGTGTAGTAAACCGATCATTTATGAAATTCACTTAAATTAACTAAATTATATATTTTTCTTGCATTTTAGCTTTTATTTACTACTTGTCAAAGATCAGATGTCAAAGAATTTTGATACGTTAATTTGGCTTACCTGCTTCAGTAGCGTATCGGATGTTTGTGTTAATAAATACTTATTAGAACTTATCTATTTTTATTAGAATTATATATTTTTATAACAATTTTAATAACTACCAACATTTATTTACAACGTAAAATAAAATAACAAATTATTGAGTCTCCCCCACGTCTACCCTACATTATAGTTTTACATTTTTTAAATAAAATTAGAACGACACTGATAAACCGGAATTTAAGTCGGCCATATTTGAGGCCTATCGCGGTATACCTAAGATTTTTGATATGCTCCTTCCTTAGTCTTCTTATTCAAAGTGTTTAGACTAAATTTTCTCGCAAATAAAGACATAGTTTAAAATTCCGTTACAATACGGAAATAGATTGAAGTTTTGTGATTACAGTGATATATAATTTATATGGTTTTGTAACAAAATGCTATTTTATGGCAAACGCTGAAGCTCTGCAAACCTTAATAAAACCTTAATCAAAGCACGAGGTTTTTCCCCAAAAAAGACTCAACATATTTTTTTATAGACTTATTTACCTATTTATAACATACTCAGTCTGATAAGAGTGTGATATAAGAATTGATATGGCGGCACATCAAAAGTTCATTTATTTAACATTTTATGAAAAAAATCATGTTATCTGTATGTTACCTTCACATTTATATTTCGATGAGATAAGTGTTATTTGGTTAAATTAAGCGCCTGTTATAAATAAACATTCAAAATTGTGACTCATTGTCAGATTTCTTGAAACGATTCAACGCGAACGAGCTGCTGTTCATGTTCATATGCTTCATCAGAGCGATAAAGAAGATTTCTGTTTTTATTAAATTTAGTTTTGTTATTTTATATTTGAAATTAATAATGATTGCTTGATGTTTAGATTTCTTTTTGATCCAACAAAAACATAAATCTCATTATAATTATTATACGGACGCCACAGTGCTTCGAACATATGGCTCTAGAGGACAAAAATCCAAAACTTCTCTTTTATTATAAGCAATTTATTCAAACTAGGTTTATTTGACACAAATGATGAGTACTCTCATTGTACTAAATGATGATGTTCTTAGTCCCACGTTTATGAAAAAAAATCTTATAAATAATAATGTTGGAGCTGTGCTCCATCTAAGCAAATAATAAGTTATAGTATGAAAACGGTGTAAGTATTAAATAAATTCCTGTGATAAAAAAAAATTGAAATAACATTAGAACATGATTCCTACAATATAAGCCTAATATAAGATAAAAATGTTTTTCTTTAATGAAAAAGAAACATTAATGTTATATTTAATTTAAAAAAAACTTAAGATACTATAAATTTACTGTAGGACAACAAAATGCATAGATCGTAACTACTCTGATTCAGGAGAATCACTGCTGACAGAATCTTCCAAATTTATAGTATCCAAATCACAGGTAGATGAACTATCCTCACATATAAGATATTTCTGTACATCATTTTCTAATATGTTACTTTTTCGCGTTGTTACTGTTCATTTTGTCGGTATGAGAGGTTCGGATGTTAATAGTTACCTCTTTAATAGACCATATTCATATATTATTTTTTCCTTTTCTTGGGCATGAGATTTTATAATAAATTGAAAGATGGACACTTTTTTTATGCGACGTTTCGCTCCAACATAGTGGACTTTTTCAGGCACAAGTGGTGTCTCATTTGACTGGAAGGTTCATCAATATCTAATAAGAGTTCTTGTCCTTATGATCAAGCCAAGTATTAGCCAGATCGGCATTGCTTATCAATTTTACTCCATCTGAAAAGTATTATAAAATAAAGTTCGTCGCAAGCAGACGCAGGTGAACTATACAAAAATTAAAAGTGTATGAATATGGCAACAAAAATATTCAATAAATACGATATGTTTTGATATGTTTTTTTAAATGCCTTTTGAAGTTTGAAAACGTAAAATTTTTATACCCATTTAAGAATCATCTTAAAAATAAATAAAAAACTAAACAATCACGAACTTGTTTAGAAATAAATTTAAAGTACATACCTTGTTTAACAATATCCATAGTGGCTTTCAATTAAGTACGTACCGTTTAACTTCATAATATACAGAACTACTATGAATGTTATTCTTTTCACTGATAAGATAATGATCGAAAAATTTATTTTTGGTGAAAATATTTGCTAACAAAAAACGCTGTTTATGAAAAATAATATACAGGATGGTTGAACATTGCTATAAGTATAAAATTATATATTCAGATATTAGTAAATTTTAACTTATTTTTTGATTTTTGTCCATGGGACGAAGCACTGTGGGACGGTATGAAATAAAGTTATCACTACCCTAAATAATTTTTAACGCAAAAAAATAATTTAATGTTCATTTCAAATGAGATTACTAATACTGAATGTTATTTTTACCTAGTTAACTGTTCTATATAGAAAAATGTGTAAAGACAAAAAAGATGGAAAAAATTGACTGATATTTGCTAGGAATGAAGATTTTGTATCAAAATTAGTGTAAAGTTCTGTCTACACATAACGTTTTATCTCTCAGTCTGACCTGTTCAGTGAACTAAAATATAGTGTGCAGACGAAAAAACGGCAGTGTTGCCAGAAATTTTCGAGCAAATTTCTTCAACGGAGTCTTAAATAACCTTCACAAAAAATTCCAGATCAACAAATTTCGTGTATTTTACCTATTTTATAATTAGGAGAAAATTTTTGAATCGAAAAAAAAACTCTTTAATCGAAAAAATTTGACTGTAAAATTCTTCATATTGTAGGAAATTCTTCAATTCTGGCAACACTGACTGACGGGATCATTCAGTTTTACAACAAAACTGTCGTTTGGCTTACACCGAAAAAAAAGTAAATTTACAAAAAATAATACGGATATAGTACAGTATCTTTAATAAGTGGGTTTTAAAAATTTAATATTTGGTGCATACTTTCACAAAATAAGATTATCCGTTTATACTGACAGGCAAAACGTAACGTGTAGGCGTAGCTTTAAAAGGAAATTAATTAGACTCTATTTATTCATACATAATGTCGTATTTAGTATCCTGAATAATACAGGAACTCAATAAAAATATATTTCTATTAATATTTGTTTTTGTATGATAATATCTTCTTATATCGCTCTGAGCCATGTCGTCGATTCACAGAACGAGGAGAATAAAAAATGCGGAAAGATTTTTTCAATTGCGGGGTTTGCGCTCTACGCTAAAACGTGTGCCGGTTTATCGTGGTTGCCATCGTTTCTAACATAAATATTTTCGTCAGGTTCCATGACCTTTCCCTCGAAGTGGAACAGGTTCGGAACCTCTAGTGGTACCGAGAAGAGCACATGGCTGTAGGTAAAGCGACCAAGAACTTAACATAATATTTGTCATTTTAATCTGAATATAAGAACCATAAATAGTGTAGAGAGTTTTGTTTGTATGTTTTTATCGTGTTTTTGATCATTGATCTGAATCCTCAGTGGGAAATTCGTGTTAGTCAGCACGGCGCCGAATATGTCCATGGTTGGCAACAATGAATTTAAAAATCGCGCCCTCTATTACGTAACTAAAAGTTTAATTGGTATCGCTTAGGGCTCAAACTCACTGACGACCAGGTCGCAACGACCTGGCCGTCGGCTGGCCGGATGTATTGCGTTTTTAGCTGCGGCCAGATGAACGACCAGTTTCAACAGAGTTGTCAAATCTAAGGATTTTTTACGTTTTACCAATTAGAAAATATTGTTTCAGAAATGTTAAAATATCCGAGTTAACTAAAAAGCGAAGTTGCTATTCACAACAAACAAAAAGCATTGTGTACGCGCGACCGACAAAAAGGGAGATATTCTGTTTCTTTTTTCTACTGATATGGCGCCCTTATCGACTTTAGAAGTAAACATATTAGGGCCATCGTAAAAAAAGATCGTCAGACACTGGCTCTAAATATAAGCTGGTAGAAAGTTTATCTTCCAGTTATTTCAATGTTTGAAATATAACGAAGAATCTACAACAGTAATTACTTCTATTTTTATGAATGTTTAAGTTACTTTCTTAATTTTTTTTCAAAATAATGTACCTAGTAGAAATATAGTCTAATGAACCCTGTTTGAAAAACGTTAAATTAAATATCATATTTAAAATACAGTTGTCCTCCTTGTACATGACTACAATACAACTAAAAAAACTAATTTAATAAAAAAAACAAGTGGTTGTAGAAAAACTTTAAATATTATTTTTTTATTTTTTAAACATCGAAACTCAAAGGCATAATAACAGGTATCATACCAACCATAAATAGAGTAGGTATGTCATATAAAAATGTTTTGAGTTTTTACTAGAATCGACCCTTGATAAAAAAAGGGATTAGATTTAAGTTTACCTTTGATCCAGTCTGTATACTATTTCTTTGGATTTTCTGCACGTGTGCAAAAACTACACTAAAATACTATATCTTATAGAAAATAAAATATTGTGCCTTGAATTTGAGGGATTTCATCTGAAAAATTATTAATTTGGAAGAAAACCGGCAACAAGCGGCAGAAAATAATAATATTTCCGTGCAGTCTTCTGGTCGCAACGACCAACGGACGGCCAGGACGTTAGTGTGCGCTATATCATTTGATTTAATGGTTTTAAGCGGTCCATACATTATCAAACAAATTGCGCAACAAAGCGATGCGCAACGCTGCGTTGCACAACTGATTCAGCGGTCCATACACTATCAAACAAGCTGCGCAACAAAACGATGCGCAACGTTCCGTTGCACAACTGCATCACCCATGCACTTGGTAAAATTTTGATCAATTTTTTTATTAAAAGTTGTGCATTGTTTGAGAAACAATCATGTTCTCAATTGCCATTGCGTCAATTGTTATCGTATATACCCTAGATGATGTCGATGATACCAAACAACGAAAAAGAAAACAAAAAATTTGGATGAAAGAACTAAAATATTGCACAACGAAGCGCAACACACACATACACTCCACAACGCGTTGCGCAAACAGTCCTGTTGCACAAAAGAATTCAAACATTCTTGAAACTCATCAAACAATTGCGCAACGCATCAAACACTACCATACATTGGCAACTCGTTGCGCAACAGCCTGCGTTGCGCAATTTGTTTGATAATGTATGGGCCGCTTTAGAGGTAGCTGCGGCCTGGCCGGTGCGACCTGGTCGTCAGTGTGTTCGAGCCCTTCCTAAAAATTGCTCAAGTGCGAGTCGGACTCGCGCACGAAGGGTTCCGTACCATTCATTATCTATACAACATTAGACACTATATTATTATAAACTTCTTTTCCGATTTAGCTGAAATTTTGAATGCGCGTATAAGTAATTTAAAAAAAATGAAGAAACATATTACTAAAAATTGTATTAATCAATAATAAATATGTAAAAAGTAAAAATAAATATGTAAAAATTAAAAAAAAAACGATTAAAAAAAAGTCGCCTTGACTAGGATTCGAACCTGCCTTACTACGGCTCCAACGTCATAGCAGCGTAAAGTCCTAACGCTATAACCACGCGGCCACCGAGGACTTGAAAGATTCTATGTAAAATTCTTACTTAAAAGATAATGTTTAGTGAAAGTACTTTTTTATTTATAAACATTTATTTAATTCTGTTTTTAGTATTTGTTCTTATAGCGGCAACATAGATACATTATCTGTAAAGATTTCAACTGTCTAGCTTTAACGGTTCATAAGATAGACCTTTGTGACAAACGGACGGACGGACAGCGAAGTCTTAGTAATAGGGTTCCCGTTTTTACCCTTTGGGTACCTACAAACCCTAAAAACAACTGAAATTTAAATATTCAGATACCGAGTAGGTTAAAAAACATTTTTGTATACTTACTTTTGTGAGCGACCTTGTACAATTTTAAATAAATATTTAAACTTTAAATTATTTAATAACAAATAGTATTAATACTGTGTCTTAAATTATTCTACAATATGATGCTGTTTTAAAAATATTTTAACTAAGTATTTTAACACCCTTTCCCGTATTCCCATTCGCTTTAAGGTTATAATTAGGAGATAAGTTGTTCAATTATCACAAATAAGCTACAATATATATGTATGTTTACATACAGAAACTGGTATACTACTACAGAATCTGTTATGACTAAGCCCCCGCGTTCCTTATGTCACAAACTATTAATATTAATTCCGTTTTCCGAACTGTATTTGTTCTCGTCAATTATGACCGATCTCAATCGAGAAAAATACACTGTGTTAATAGTATGGTACCTGAAAAAGATGGTAAATATGTTTTAATTTGTTATTAACCTGTTTTATATAACTGTTTTCTGTAGAATTATTTTTTTTTGTAGGATTTATGTTTATTATTGATTTTTTATATATCCCAGTTTTTAAGACATTAAAATACCATACGATCGAAAAAAACGGCGTCTAAGACGGTTGGGGAGTGACAATCGATGATAATTTTGGCGAGGTCGAGCCCTAGACGCCATTATTCAGCCCGTACTCACTATTTTTAATGGCGCTTACTGTCAATTGACCTCAAGAATGTTATAATTTATTTTTGTATTGCTTTTATTTTTATATTACTCTTATATATTTAAACTCATACTAGTTGTATAGAATGTTCAGCCATCATTCAACGTTACGTCATCAGTACTTGTCAAATATTACTTTTAGGGCGTGTCTGAGATCAGTTCATAATGGTTAAAAAATTTTAAGTACGTTCCTATATTATTGATTGAGTGAGTTCCGTTTTTTTTTCGGAATTTATTCATTTTTCTTGAACTCTTCATCAGTTACGATCCCTTTAATTCGTTAAACGACAATGATGATCAACTAAAAAATAAAATTTAATTAATAGACCTTTTTATCTAATTCTGTGTTTCAGGTCGTCGTCTGCCTAGTAGCGTCCAGCATAAGGAAGATGGAGACGATTCCTTGCCTACGATTCCGAATGGCAACACCGCCGATCACAGCGCCAAATCTGAGGACAGTATCAAATCGGAGGCCAGCTTTAGTAGCGAGAACCTGGACAACTCCTCGTCCTCGGAACTGGACGCTAATGAGTCGAAACCCCGGTTGCGGGAGTGGGAAAAACACAGAGCTCCCTGGCTGGAGGAGATGAAATTGAACCAAGGTAAACACTAAACAGCGCTTCTCCATAATGTCTTCTTAGATTGCCGTCTTCCTTCAGAGGTTCGCAGTCCAACTGGTTATGATACTGAACGAAACTGCACCTCTGAAAATTCTCTACAAAATATACTCATCGGCACAAAGTTAAGATTCAACAACTGGAAGATAAAGTCTATGTTAAATGCATTAGATATCGTATTCATAGAAAGGTATGCACTAATAATACCAATTTTTGGAAAAACATAATTTTTAGCTAACTGATCTATGGGTATTGTTTGTTTAAACTAAAATTCTTGATCCGTGATAAGAACTGATAACTACATAATTTATTACATATATTTTTATTGTTATTTTAAAGTTATATGTCAAAGAAAAGGACTACTAATATTAGTTTATTGAAAAAAAATGCTTAGTACTATATTGCGTTATGATAGGTATAATACATTTTATAATTTTTTAACCCAAATAAAAAATAACGTAACTGAAAACAATGCCTTGTTTCTCCATTCTGTATATAATGTGGTATTTCTTTAGATAACAAACACATTCATTGTTAATCTATTAAAACATTTTTTTTTAAAATATGTTTACGTAAATATTTGAAATATGCAAAATTTGCATGTAATAAACGGACCTTTATTTGAAATCTTGTACATTTTTTCCAGCTAAAAGAACGTCTGTATCGCCGGTACCGGACCCCAAACACAAAATCTCACCGGAGAGTGACCAGGGGTCGAAGTCCAGTCAAAACTCGCCCTCAGAAAAGGAGGTTAATATAGTGGACATGTCCAAGTCGATGTCGGACATCAAGATGAGTCCTGGTGACGTCAAAGCGGTTGGAAAGACGGATAAGGCACCTCCGTTACGTAGTAGCAAACCCTTAGCACCGTCTACTGTCAAACCTACACCTATAAGTAAGTACTGTATAAAATTGCATGATTTTGACGTTTGCTTTTTTATGCTTTTACCTTGGCATTTGTTTGATTGCGCTTCATTTGACATTTAATTCAGTGAATTTTCTTTGTTACTAATCCGGTAAGTGATGGAGATAAACAATTGTGATTGATTCAGATTTTATTTTAAGATGACTTTTGTTAACAGCGTTCTGAGAATTCGAATAATGAATTGAATAATGACAAGTGACATCTGTCTAAAAAAGACAGAGATTTAGAGTGACAATTTGGTTATGTTAAATTGAGAGTGACAATTTTGATTATGCAGAAAAAACACATATTGTATGAGTTTACTGGTTTCAACACTTTTTAGCATTGAAACATGTAGCAGTATATTGTCTCAAAAAAAATCATTTTTGAAGTTTTTAGCACTTCTTGGTAGCCAATTTTGGAATAATTCTTTAGATAAAAGGATTACTCATAATAAAAACGTCTTTCGAAAGTAAATATGAATAAATCCTGTATTTGACAAGTTACAAAATCCAGTCTTACAAAAGAAAAATAATTTTTAAGAAACATTTAAAAGAAATCCTTTTCTATTTTACACGGTACGTAAATATATTATGAACTTACTGCAAAATACTTAAAAACACTAACTTAATCTCAAAAATCGCTGCCCAACTATGCAAATCACAGCTCAAATCAAAGATAAGCGTCACAAAACCAATAAACAACCTAAGACAAAATCAGTTTTGACGTTGCGCCTAAACAACCTATGTTGAGAAAAAAAATATATTGTTTAAGCATGTCTCTGGTTTATTAAGAATAAAAATCAACATCAATTGTAGGTTTTTTGACACCTTATTTTTTCGATTTATTAATTTTACCTCGTGCATCGCCGTGAATCACCCTATAGATTTTGACTGAAGAGAACAAAATGTTGCATGTATTCAGTCCTGTTAAAATTTGTATGTTTTGTTGTGTGTTTAATTTTTATTCACTTCCTCTTCCTGTCTTCCTTTCACTTGTCATGGCACTGTTTGGTGACGGCTTTAAAAACTAAACCATATATCATCACTCCGATGTGCTAACACTGCATCAAGAAGCACATTTCTAAAAAGAACACATTGTTAAAGGCTCGCCCCCATCTCTCAAAGATCTCCAACCGCCCAAGATCTCCAAACCGGCCGCCCCCCAGCCAATACTGACACCCAAACCGAAGCAGGCACTGCCCGAAGCAGTAGCGGCACCTCCGCACGCCACTGGAGGGTACCTGGGTTACTCGTCCAGTTTCTCGCACTCTAGCGCCGCCTCTAAGGATGCCCAGGTCACCCCTAAGCAGTTCCAAGAAGTTTTGGACCGCCTAGCTAGGGTGGAGATGAAATGCGAACTTCAGGAGAAGCAGATAGAGGACCTGAAGAACAAACTGCAAGTAGAGACGGAATTGAGGAGGCTTTTGCAGGAGAAAGTAACGCAGAACAGCGTGCAAGTTTGAACTGGTGTATTTTTATAGGTGTTTTTTTTCTAATTAATTTCTTAATACCATTCAAAGATGGTAATACTAATTCTTTCTTTACAGGGTCAACTTTTTTGTTCGATTTTTTTATTCCAATCTAAGCTGATAAAGAAATATAATTAGGCACGCTTTAAAATTGCATTTTTATTTATTTCAATTTCAATTCTTAAATGCTCAATTCTTTTTTAAATAACATAGTTTCTTGTTTAAGCAATGTAGGGAAAAGATTAAATTCAATGCCTGGTATTAATTGGAATGCTAAATTATGTTTCTTTATGGTTGTGTGCTAGACTTTTGAATAAAAAGATTAAGGAAGGGGTATAATGCTATCCTATGTATTCATGCATGGTCGACGAAAAGAGGACTCTAGGGTGGGGATCCTTGACAGTTCTGTTTGACGGTTCATTTGACACATTTGAATTTGATTTGAAATTTCGTGGATTTGTTAGTCTTTACTAAGCTTATTTTATGTTATTTACTATTTATTCTACTACTGATAGTTGTTTAAAGGTAGTAAATCTAGAAGGAAATTGTAGCAGAACTTAAATTAACAGTGACACTATTGCGATTTATCGAAAAAGACTGTAAAATAGTTGTGTAGCGTGCGGTAGATCTCGGTCAAAAATTGAGAGAAATAATGGAATAACTTTTCGCTAGTAAGTGACTATAGAATATACATACGTGTAGTAAACCGATCGTTTTTTGTTTATTATTTGTCAAAGATTAGATGTCAAAGAATTTAGATACGTCAATTTGACTTACCTGCTTCAGTAGCGTATCGGATGTTTGTGTTAATAAATACATTTTTATTAGAATTATATATTTTTATAACAATTTTAATAACTACCGACATTTATTCACAACGTAAAATAAAACAATAAATTATTGAGTCTACCCCACGTCTACCCTACATCATAGTTTTACACGTTTTAAATAAAATTAGAACGGCACTGATAAACCGGAATTTAAGTCGGCCATTTTAGAGCCCATTCGAGGTGGATCTAAGATTTTTGATATGCTCCTTTTTTAATATTTTTATTCAAAGGGTGGTAGAAAGACAGACCCCGCAGACGCTCAGTTGTTTTTTTCTACAGTAAACTGGGTAACACACCCACGCCGTTTCAGAACATTTTGTTACAGTAAAGTTAATACTAGACTGAACTTGTGTCTGTTGACTGAGCAAAAATGAACTGAAGAAAAATTCCAATTCAAACCAATTCAGGCCAAATTCAAACAGGTTCTGATTTCGCTCAACTCGAGCCAACAGCCTGCACAGGCGGTCTGAGCGATGAAACTGGGCGTCTGTGGGTGCCTTTATACAGGTGAACGGAAAGTAAGGTATCCAGCTTTTGGGTTTGCTTGAGAAAGATTAAATATTGTAAGTCATTTTTTACCTTGTACCTTACCTAGTAAGTATTTTTTTGTTGGAAATATATAGCTATGTATATATTTTAAAAGTCAATAACCATATCTCTGAGATGTGGTCAGAAATGATTTATATATTATTTGCCAATTTAAGTCTTTTTTATGAAATGAAGATGATTTAATAATATTAGGCTTGTTCCAAACAATGGCATATAACTATATAGTTTAAAAACGGTTGAACAAGATATTGTACCTACTTTTTTCATTGTCTAGTTTATGTTGAAATACACAACTGTCATCACCATAGTTACAATAGTCTATGGTTGGAGCAAACCTAATATAGTTGTATGTATATCATCAATGATAAGTCTATTAAGTATAATTATTATATAATATGCATTTTTTAACCATACTTTAAGTTCAAATATGAAAAAAAATGTTATTCTTGTCAATTCGGTACTATATATTTTTATTGCATTTATTTCTTAAATATAGAAATAATTTATATTTTTATAACGCTTTAACGTAAGATGACTAGATAGTCTTTAGGTCTTAACAGATGCTATAATATTCCTTAAGGTTGTCTTGTATACAGGACACGCGTTTTTATATACATATTTATATTTATTAATTATTGTACGCACTAAAATGCAATATACAACAGACACTAAACGATAAATGTGCTTATTTATATTATAATATACAATATTTTATTTAAATTTATTTATACAGGGTGTATCTTTCAAAAAGGGACCGTTTAAATTAATTTTCTATGCTTGCGGTATATTTTGGTTTGTATAATTGTAGTATATTAATGTCTCTAAGAGGGTTCTTAAAGTGTCTTTATCTGATTTGAAATATACTATAAGTGTGTTTTTCAAAAGTGGTTAATATTTTTTTTAAGCCAAAATGTGAAAAGTTGACATATGAAATGTCATTCTATTCGGAATGTGTTTCTATCAAATAAAGTAAAAAAAATACCGAGGATACCATTAAAAAAAAATTGTTGTCATTTCCAGTGAAACGGGAAGTGACCGAACTAATTGAATACGTCAATCAATCCCTGGTTTCTATCATATTCAAACATACGTGAGCCACTTTTGAAAGACAACCGGTATATATAGAATTATTTTTTACGTTAAGCTGATAATGAAACAGTTTTTTTTTTGTTGATTAACTGACATAGCCTAAACTGACTTATTTTTAGTCGTTAATTCAAAATTATACAGATTTTATTTAGATTATAAAATCCATCCATATTTTTGCTGTTAAAAAGAATTGTCAAGCCTAGATAAATAATTATGGATTTTTTAAGATAATTTTTTTTTTGCTAATATTGAGTTACCTGGAGACATCTTTATTGAGATATTTTTTTATTAAATCAACTATCTTAATACAAATGTAGGTTGAAGTGATTCCAAAAACTATTAGTAATAGAGTGCAGCAAATCCGGCCTGATTATAGGTTATATTACGTAACAATAAAATCATAAATATTTGCTGTCCCAAAAGATTTTTTCTTAGTTATTTTAGCGCCAAGAGCCTACTATCAAAGATTATGCAGATTATAAACTTTGTTTTTTCTTTGTTGTTTTTCGTGGTTCCAATTTTCGGAATCGGGCACTAGTTAGGTTACTAGTTTGCGCACGTAGCACGCCCACTTACGGCTTCTAAAATTGTGCACATCGCCTGACCGGCACAGTTATTAGAGAGATATCGGAAAACCGAATAGCGTCATGCAGTATTTACGCCTACCTTATCATGGTTACGATATGCGCGAGTCAATTTTTAACGCAACACCCACTAATAACGTTACCGCCTGACGTAATTTGCGGATCAATTACACCAAGCGCTATTTCTAAATAACGTTTAAAAATATGCTTAAATGAGCATGTGCGGGTATTTGACAACCGGGGCCGGCCGGCGAGATCTTTTATTTTAGGTTATGTTTGAATTGTTTTGAATTATTAATTTAGTTTTATTAGGTAATTTGATATTTAAATAGCTGGGATTAGTTTTAATTAAATAAATATGGCTCAAAATATGGATTCCACCTCTTCCAATATTAAAGAACCTATAAAGAGGCTTAGGTTTACAGCAAATGACGACTTAGCCCTTCTAAGAAAATTTGTTGCCGTAAACCCACTGGCAGACGTTGAACAATAAAGCACTGGAAATAAGCACTTTAGCCCTTTAGTTTTAAAATACCTAGTAAACAAAATAATTTCAAAGTTTTAAATTCAAAGTTAGGTTAAGTTTAAATAGCGGACGCGACGCGAACAGAATTCTTTCCGATCCGATAACTATAAATGAAGAGAGTTAATACCACCTCACGTAAAGGAAATAACACCTGGCCTTATTAACGTCCATGCACGCTATTCGGTTTAGCGATATCTCTCTATTACGCTGTTTATTGTTATTTTACGCGAGTTTATTTTTGCGCACAGGAAATTTAGTCCTTTGCACATCGTTATAAAAAACAATTTTCGTACCACGAATTAGGGACAAGATTTTTATCTGTATACTTATAGGATACCTAATCTGTGCTACTATGTTGTTGACTCAAATTTTCATCACTTCAACCTACTATGCACTTCGATGCATATATATACAAGTTTAGCTTTATACATTTTTTATGATTTTTTCAATAAGATTTCTTTAACGTGCTTTAGGAATATAAGAGTAAACTAAAAAGTATTAAAAAAAGAGGGTGATAGGTATTTTGCTTTTTTACACTGATTAAAAACGCGATACCCCATTTTAACATTTAGAAAAATTAAAGGGAATTAAGTCATAATACTATACTGAAAGTGTTCTTTTTTTCTCGCGTGATGAGAAGTAAAATTGGTTGTATCTAGAGAACGGAGAGGTATATCGTAGATTTAAAGAGAAAAAAGTGTGTATTGTAACAAACTACATTCCATAAAACTTATTTTTTATTGTATATAAAGAGAAACAGATTCCAAGCTTTGTAAGTACTTATTATAATTATATTGTTGGAGAAAATAACTATGTAAAAAATGAATTGAATAAATATATTTCAGATTGATTATGTGTTTTTTTTTTATTATTAAATCATGATAAAAAACCTCTTACTTTACTGTTAGTCTTAGATACCGTATGATTGAAAAAAAACGACGTCAAAGACAGCTGAGGAATGATAATCGATGATAATTTTGACGAGGTCAGGCCCTAGATGGCCTTTACTAAAAATCCAGACGTTTCCAGACACACAAATCTATTTCCAAAAATGTTTTTTTCGAATTTTAAACTAAACCGTTTAAAAATCATTTTTACTTGGTATAAAAATAAATTATAACCTTCTTAAGGCCAACTGGCAGTAAGCGCCATTAAAAATAAAGATAAAAAATAAATGACGTCTAGAGCTTAACCTCGCCAAAATTATCATCGATCGTCATTTCCCAGCCGTCTTTAACGCCATTTTTTTTCAGTCGTATTAGTCATTTTTTTGTGACACAACCAATCAATAACTTTTTTGTTGTTTTTGCTCTATCTGTCGCATTGTTGATATACTACTAAGTCGAACTTGACCTTGTAACTTTTCTATTTTTTCTTCCTCGACGCGTACGGCTATATATCGCTGTTGTCCCCTCCCCCCTCCCTCTTTATGTCATCGTATCATTTTGCCTGCTCTTTCCCGTGCCGTCGTCTGGATAGATATTTCCTCTTTACGTATCCGGAACAGCCGGAAGCCAGCACGCGCCGCACAATAGTCCACACACCACGCAATGGTCGCATTTGAGAAAATCTAGCCATAAGCACTGTAAAATATTAGATTATAATATTAATAATCTATCAATTTATGAAGTAATGATTATTTTTATGTAAAGACTGACACGGCACGCAGGTAGACGCTTACAGCCTGAAAGATACGCTAGACTGCCTACTTTAAATTGTCTATACACATAACATACTTCAGAGATATGGTCTTGTTTATTGGAGTAACGCTGACACAGCCAACCTAACAATGGGTATTTCATTACGGGTATTAAGTAACATTCTTTAAATAAAAATAATCTGAATAACATCAGAAGTGGGATTAATATCCCACTAAGATATATTATAATGTCAATTTATGAAATAGTGATTATGTTTGAACAGCAAGGACTTTTTGATATTGTTTTAAACTGATGCATCCTTAATTAAACATCGTTAATGTGAAAAAATAGATGTAGTAATACTCTTACTACATATTTTAATAATTTTTATTGTGCAAAACTGCCAGAAACCTTCATATTGTCTTCTTTTTGGATAAAAATCCTTCAGACCTTCAATCGACAAAATTTGGCTCTAAAATCTTTCATATTGAAGAAAATCCTTCAATTCTGGCAACACTGGCAAGACTAAACTATGCGCCCATCCTATCAAAAATCTGCACAAGCTGGTGTAGGTACAGGGATAGAGAAGAGAGGGTGCAGATATAGAAAGAGGACAAACACAATAGGCCTTGCAGATATAACGCTAGTATTGGTTTTGGTTATCCCACTTCTGATGTTAGATTATAATGTCAATTTATGAAATAATGATTATGTTTATGTAAAGAGTGACAAGGAACGGCAAGGGCTTTTTGACAGCGACATTGCTTTAAACTGAGGCATCCTTAATAAACAGTACACCGCCTGTATTATCAACTTTTCTGATATAGTTTACAAATTTTGTGTCACTGATAATTTTTACCGAACCGAGATCTAACACTTCTTTAAACAAATTGAACTATTACACAATCTATTAAGTTCAGATATATAATATCAATATCATATGCAAAAAAAATGGCTTCGGGAGGCACTTATAGCCGCCCATACTAAAATATGTTAATAAAAAGTTGGTAGGCAGTTCTTTTAGTTTCAATTATCTCAAAAGCTGCAACTTTGACTGGTTTTGATGTTATTACAATTTGTTTTGCAAATATTATTCCTAATCTTAAATTGAAAACCGCGTTTCGCTAGCTACTGTAATTTTGGAGTTACGATTTTTTAAAATTTTTAACCCCCTCCCATACCCCTTTACCAACCCCCTACCCCCACCATCCAGATTCCCGGGTGCCACAGTATTTTTGTGCCAAATTTGGTTAAAATCGGTTTAGCGGTTTTTGAGTTATCGTGTTACAGACAGACGGACAGACAGACAGATACCATGAAAATATTTTGTATTTAGCTCATTTATGACCCAAATAACTCATTTTGAGTGAAATTAAAAAAAACTTTTTTTTGCCGATCTTAATAGCCTACCATACCTGTTGGTGTGGTCGGCTAAAAATTACCGAATTGTACGTAGAATCTAATAAAACAAAAAATAGGGTATTACCATTAAAAAATATATGTTATATCTACAACACTTTTTTGAAGTACCTTGTATACTCTACAGTAATTTTAAAATGTGCTTCTTAACGTTCCCTATAACTTGTCTGGTTAACATTTTGAAGAAATGAAGAACTCGAAACAAATAAAGGGTTCAAGAGAAAAAAACGTTGGCCAACTCGGCTTGTCTCGTGGCAGCCTTCCTCAAAAAATCGATAGAAAATGTCTCGCTCTCGTCAGGTCTGGACACACCTTAATGCTAGTATTGGTTTTGGTTTTGTTTTTTTTGCCAAGAAAAGCAATATTTTTGTCTCGCTTTTATGTAAAATCTTCTCATAGCGCGCTGCCTGCTGCCTCTCCCCCTATTTCTAGCTGGAGGAGATCCGAAGCCGAAGTTTGTGGAGCCGGTGAGGCAGGGGTCAAGGGGAAGGTTGCTCTGGATCGCGAGCCGCAGTCCGGCGTGCGCCTGGGCTCGCGTGTCAGTCGGAAGCAACACGTGGCCTTGGCCAGATGGCTTTCCATCACTTGTCCCTACACCCCCGCCGCAGGCTCGTTTTCTAACCCCAATTTTATATCATTTCCGCGAAAAATCCTCTACTTATGACTGAAGGTAACCTGGAAAATAACGTTACGTAACCGGAAAATTTGCTTTAAGTCGTAATGTGGATGATTCCAGTTAATACAGCCGAGTTGTATGGGTGGTGAGGTTGGAGAACTATGGAAGGCTCGAAGGACGTGATAGTAGTGGTTGTGGTGGTTTGAAATGGAAGAGACGGTAGATGGGACTTCCGAGGATGTTTTGGCGGCGGCTACTCGCGAGGCCGCCTATCTCACGGATAAGGAGAGGGAGGCTATTTTGGCTGTTCTGACCAAGGACGAGCAGTTGAGGAGGCAGCAACAGGTTAAAGTTTTGTAAGTGTGTTTGTTTATTTTATAAAGTTTTGTTTTTTTGTTGTTGATGTTTTTTTTTCTTTAACAAAATTGTACAGGGGTATATCGAAATGAAATTTTGGGAGCATAAAATAATTAATTAATTGTTAATTGAAAGCATTTTGTAAAAATATATTAGAGATATACAGGGTGTCCCCAAAAAATTTTTTTTTGTAATGGAACACCTTATACAGGGTGGTCCGAACTGTATTCCGGAAACTTCGGCAGCATATTCTGCAGTTAAAAAGAAGTAAAAAACTTCTTATAAATGTATGTCTTAAAATGCTTAGTTTCGGAGATACAGGGCGTAGAAATTTCATTTTTATTTCGATATTTTCCAAATAATTTCTGAAGTTACGTCAATATTTGGATGAAAATTGATGTCTGATAGTTTTTTGACATGAGAAATTTGATTTTGATATCATTATGACTCCTATTTGTAGAGGGCGCCACCTACATGTGTTTTAACTGGTTTGAAGAGTAATAACTTTTTGTCCGTACCTGTATAGAACTGCGGAGTGAAAAAATATACATTTTTGTATTTTTTTACTTAAAAAATGTCTCTTGGTAAAAATCGTTACGAGCAACCCTTCTCGAGATATTTAGAATGGAAATAGTCAATGCATGTCATTATTGACAAAAAATAAACAACATGTTGAGTAGATAATTATTTGACTAAAATGACAAATTTGGTAAATTTTTATTTTTTTAAATTAATCGTAAAATTTTCTTCGAAAAAATGATGATTGATGATGATTTGGCACAAAAACATTTCAAATTTATGATTTCCGTCTATTAACTATTTAAACAACATGTTTAATTTATGTCAATGAAGACGTATTGATAATTTCGATTTCAAATATCTCGAGAACTTTTACTCGTGGCGATTTTTATTAAGAGATATTTTTTACATTAAAAACGTCGTAAATGTATATTTTTTTACTTAGTAGTTTTATACAGCTACGGACGAAAAGTTATGACTCTTCAAACTAGTTAAAAATATGTAGGTGGCGCCCTCTACAAGTAGGAGTCATATTGACATTAACATCGAATTTCTCATATCAAAAAACTCACAAATACCAGATTTCATCCAAATATTGACGTTACTTCATAAATTATTTGGAAAAATTGAAATAAAAAGGAAACTTCGACGCCCTGTATCTTCCAAACTAAGTATTTTAGTACATACATTTATAAGAACTTTTTTACTTATTTTTATCTGCAGAATACGGTGCCAAAGTTTCCGGAATACAATTCGGACCACCCTGTATATTAATTGATTTTCGGATTCTAGGAAAAAATAAAATTAAGTTTTATTAAAGAAGCATATGCCTAAAGTGCAAGTATTTTGATATATTTCACATTTTGTGAAAATGAAGAGTAAATTTTAAATTTCAATAACACTAACTACCTAAATCTTAATTTACCCCGTATAGATTGATATTTAATTACAATAACCATTGTACGTTAAACCAAATTAAAATTTGAGCCGAAAAGTTATACGGGGTGGGACAAAATTAATTTGGAACATTGGTCACTTTTAAAAGCAAGTTACTCCTTTATTTTAAATGGAACACCCAGTATGTTATTCCGGTGTTCAATGGGGAATTCATATATCATCAAAATATTATTAAGGTCGCCTACCTCTCGGACAAATGTTCTCCTAGATATTTTAATTTTTATGATTTTGCGTCAGTAGATTTTTATTATTTGAAAAAATGTAGGTAGCTGTGATATACCTTTTGTTAATTTAACAAAAATTAAAGGGTCTAGAGTAAAATATTTAACGGTAATAAAAAATACACGTTTAAAACATATTTTAATTATTACAGAATTAAAAATACCTATATGTAAACCTATAATTATGTGACAAAAATTAGCTAGACGAAATCAAATACTCAAAATGCTTCCTTTCTTGTTAACTGCATAAAATGATTCTTTTTTCAAAAGTTCTTTTTATTTTCAAAGGTATATGTGGAGTTCTACTTCGAAATGCAGCTACAATTATTTCTCTTATGTTGTTGATAATAGTTGACCAAGTTCTGTAAACACTGTGACAGTTGTATCTGCCATTGTCATTTTAATTCATTCGAAACTGACATAAGTAAGTACAATAACAATGACAAATACTTTTTTGTCGATAAAAAGCCTACCCTCTTGGCCAATTTTCGGAAAAATAGGTTATAAAAGTCAATAAAAATAAAAAGATTTATAATAGTTTGAAAGTTGAAAGACTTATAACGAGCTCTAGCGCCACAGGTGCCCCACTATCGTTATTGGGGACTTGTTTTTCACTCTATCCGCAATCAGAGGAGAATAATAGGACGTCGTTTAGCTTTTTGGGCCCCATGTGGCCCTACGAGCCGCTTGATTGATGACTATCCCTAGACGTCCACCTCCTACTCCACCCTTTAGGCTTGATGTATGTCCGACGATCATTTTTCTTTGTCGAAAAATCAAATTAACATACTGAAGCCGTTGTGTTTATATATTTAATACCAATTAAAATTTTAGCAATTAACTATGGCAACATATTCGTCGCCGGGCTGACTAACTGGAATTTAAATTTCCCGCTGCGGATTCAGGTGGTAACTCTGCTGTAAAAAATGCCAAGTTGCCACATTTATTTATTATCTTTCCTGACATTGTCATTCGTTTTGAAACTTTAGTTTTGTATTGGGAGTTTTTGGTTAAGACGAATTGTGTTGTGATATTTTAAGCTAAACATTTTTTACTAGCAGACCTTGCAGTCGAACATTGTTTTTTTTAGAACCTCTTTTAGTGGGAAGTGTACAAGATAGCTTAATAGCCATAAAAAATGCATTGCAACTTTATTAGAATATTTTGAACAAGAAAGCGATAGTAATGACCCTTTAAAATATAACACACTTGATATTTTCCTCGATTCCTCTTCGAGATATAGGGTATATAAAAATTCGCCCGCTTTTAAATAAGTAGGCTTTGAACGGCACCGGCTGTAATGCAAAAAATTCTAGCTGTGAACCTCAATTAAAATGAAAATAATATTTGCTAAGAGAGATGCAGAATTTTATAACAATTTAAAATATATTTAACCAACATCAACACATTTAAACTATATGTAATAACAGTAAAAATAAATAGCAAACCAAGACATGAGATTTTGCTACAGGTGTTCGACATATCGACCATCTTCTCTTATGGACAGACGGGGCAGTTTTTGAAAATTTCTCGCGGAATTCATTAACTCAGTGGGGTGAAAGATACCCTCTTATAACTGCTAAGTATTTTTAATTCTTGTCTAGATTATACGGAAGAATAAGGAACCTTTATTCTTCCGCAAATATATCCATAGGATTAGATCCATGGGCACTAAGTCAGGCGGCCTCGACGGCCAACGGCTGGGATCTTGGTTAGCTATCCAATTATTCTTGAAATTGGCTGCAAAAAATTTGCTGATAACTTCAGCGTTCAGAGGCGGTGCGTCGTTTTGCTGGAAAAATATGTTTTCGAATTCCATTAAGGACATATCCTCAATAAGTGGTCCAAAGCCTACTATAGTTAAAAGTGGCGAACTTATAAAAATTCTGTATTTCGAAGGGGATTATAACAAAATATCAAGTGTGCTATATTTTTGGAAAGGTAATTTTAAATTCTTTTCAGTTAATTAAAAATATAGAGGGTGTCCCAAATAAAAAATCATTTTTTCTGTTGATAACTCTTAAATTATTAATTTTAAAAAAATTATACTTAAACCATTAAATTCTACGTAAAAAGTTGCTTTGGATATGTTTTCATAGAAATACAAAATTTTCCATAGCAAAAAGTTACAGTGATTTGTTAAAAATGCTCATTTTTGAAAAACACCCCGTAACTCCGAAACGGTAACAGATATTGATGTGCGGTTTTCACCATCATGTTTTTGATAAAAATTGAGCTCCAGACACCGATATTAGTTTTCGTCTATCTCCTATAGAAAAGGGTGTTTCCATTTAAAAGCGTCGAATTTGACCCACCCTGTACATTAATTGCTGTTAAGGAGGTGAGTTTTGTTGATGTAAATAATAACTGTTTTTATATAAATTATATTATTTAAAACTGGGCAACGCTGTTCCGGTCAAGATTAATCACGTGACTAAAAGTTTATTTGATTTGAACTATAGGTTGTTAAACAATTATTATTAATGATTGTTGATCTTGAAAAAAAGCCTTTTTTGTGATTGGAGGTGATCAGAATCATGTTGATGGCTCCCTCTACAAGTAGGAATCCTCCTGCCATTTACATCGAATTTCTTGTGTCAAAAAATACCCGGACACCAATTTTCAGTCAAATATTGACCTTAATTCCGAACATATTTGGAAAACCGGAAATAATACTGAAACTTCTACACTCTATATCTCCGATCAAACCAAACCAAACTATATTTATACGAACTTTTTTACTTATTTTTATCTACAGAACTTGTTACCGAAATTTCCCGATTACAATTTGGACAACCCTGTATAGTAAATCATATTTATTACGTTTTTTGGGGAAACAATTCATTATGAAATTGATTAAGACGAATTCAACAAATACTTTTAGATTTCCTTGCAGATTCCGGCATTTCTCATTTCTAATAACGCCGACTGATAAAAATTGAAAGATAAATCTTTCGTTTTCATTACTAAGAAAAATTCTACTTAAGTCTTTTTCAAGACTTTTTTCACTTTAAATTGGGTATTTTTAAACCATCATCGCGCCAAAAAAAGAATCCCTCCCTAATTTGACGTTTCAAAAACTGGCAAAGCGGAAAATCGGCATTTAAGTCTTTGGAAGCTCGATTTTTAATTTAATTATCAAGTTAAACGAAAAATGCGACCTCTCAGCGAGTGCTTCAAGTATCTCTTTGAGGATTAAAGCATTCCTGAAAAGTTTCCACTGTGCTGCGGGGCAAAAAATAACTGAATTTAATATTTATGTAGTGTGCTTTGTTCATTTTGGAACTTCATACTTTTTCTTT